CGTGCTGTCAAACCTACACTAGCAAGGAGATCGGGCTGAAACTATAGCTACAAGCTATCCAAGGATGGTACTATAGAATGTCACCTCAAGGTAGGCCTAGTGGCGTCATCTCTTGGTTAGGCCGGAAACTTATCAATCCACCCTCGTATATGCAGGTACCTGTTCGTAGAACTGGTTATACAAAAACTTACATACTGTACAGTAAAAGTTCCTCATTAACGGTTTCCTTCTTCGCGTTTTCATTATTCGCGGGTGAAAAAATTGCAACTCAGTTCCTGTATTCGCGGTTAAAAATTTCATTATTCGCGATTGCAATCGGTAAACAAAAAAGGATTCGTTGTCATTTATTAAGGGTATTGACCGCAATAGACCGCTCGTGCCTAGTATGATTTTTTCCGAAAACATAGGTTCCTATTCTAAACATTGTGATTTAACGCTGCGAGATAAATATCTAATTTTTTGAATGGAACAGACAAAGGTTCACACTAACTCGGTGCGTTTTTGGATTTCAATAATATGGTCATTAAAAGCTTTTAGAAGTGCTTAAAGTTGATGCTTCTTGTAGGACACGTATTTTCAATAGAAATTAAAAAATTAAAAAATGGCCTTCGACAAGCCTTTGAACAAAGCTTTATCTATCTTACTATAAAATTTCAAACCTCTGTTCCAAATATTAAACTCATGATATCTAGAACCGATAAGCATGTTTTTACTCAACGGCGCGTGTACTACTGAATCTCCTTAATTTGAGTATGTACAGTTGGTACATGCCGAAGCGGTTTTTATAAAAAATCTAACCGAGTAGAAAAGGATTTTTCAACGTATCAGTATCTTTTGAGTACTATTGGCTCGTGCAGAGGCGATTTTTATAAAAAATATAACCGAGTGGATTAATTTCAAAATTCAAAACGAGAAAATATCACTAAATTTTTTAAACTGTTGCCTAAAGTTGATTATAACAATTAATGTTAATCGCGAATTTGTCAATATATTGATTTTATTTTGATATACATTAAATATGAACAAATGATTGTTATTGACGAACAATTACAAGCAAACTATTAGAGAAATTTAAACTTTGAAAAGTATTATGGGGTCCAGTTTACCTCATAGGTCTCTCGTGAATGACGGAAACGCAGAAACGAAATGTCAATTTTAAATTTTATGCTATTGTTGATGAGTGCTTTATTTGTATTCCGAGGTTTTCAAACAGTGATTTTAACTTTAAAATTAGACTAGTAAAAGAATGGTAAGAATTACAAATTCAATGGCTGACAGACATAACTGATGGCACTAATATTTATTCAAAATGTTTGCAAAGATTAATGGGTATAAATGTTTCGTGATCAAGATTACTAATGATATGTAAAGTAAGGTTAAACGAGATCCACGGATTTGAATTTTGTTTGCCTTTCTGACAACTGGTATTAAAAAAAAAAACACAAAATGGGAAATGTGTTTTCATCAGCAGGCCACTGTATTTTAGAAATGTTTATAGCTGTAAGTTCTGGTGCTGTTGGTGTTGGCTACTTGTTAGTGAAAGGTTTTCAAAATAATTTCTTCAGAAACGTATTTGCAGCAAGCCTTACCACTACTTGTTTAATTTATGTTTTTTATAATGACGAGTTGGATAAACCAACAAAAGACAAAGTGGTATTTATTACTGGTTGTGACTCTGGACTGGGCTTTTCCATAGCCCAACATCTTTGTGAGGAAGGTTTTACAGTAATCGCTGGGCTTTTAAATTTAAATTCGGATGGTGCCATTGAATTACGTAAAATTTTTGGAAATAAAATAAGATATGTCCATTTAGATCTAACAGACATTTCTTCTATTAATGTTGCTGTAGACAGCACAGTGCAATATCTTGATGAAAACAAAGATTATAGTAAGAATTATTTAAAGAGGTAGTTAATCAGTTTTTAACATAGTAAAATTTTTAGAGCTGTGGGCCTTAATAAATAATTCAGGAGTAATGGTGTTTGCAGAATTTGAATGGCAAACAGAAAGACTTATTCGGCAGCAGGTAGAAGTCAATTTATTGGGGACATTAAATTTAACAAGAGCCTTCTGTCCTCTATTAAGAAGATACAAAGGTGAGTCAATTATTATAAAATATATGGAGAAACTATGTTTATTAACTCAAATCGACTAGAATTCTGAGAAATGACGCCCTTCGATTGGCTTCAAATCTTCACAACATACTCCCTTGTAGACTAGATGATGATACCTAAAAGGATTTTTGGTGATTGAAATCCGAAAGGTTGTTAATAATTCCCTCATACAGCTATTATTTTCAATATAATCAGATATATAATTCCTAAAGAACACTATCTGGAAAAAATTTGAAGCAAACACCTACCTATAAGGGGTTTCCTTTTCAGAAATATATTTTTAAGCTATCATCTTGGAAGAAAAGATTCCTGTTCTGGTTTCGGATCGGTAAAAATTCTTTTATCTATCATCAAATCTATAGTCAATTTAAAGTCAACTGGAGGGTATTCCTTTTTTAAACTTCAGTCTTTAGATCAATTCTAAATGTGTGATAACAGTAAGGGTACTGTGAAAGGTGACAAAGGTTTTTATTCTCCAGGAAGAGTAATTACAGTTACTAGTCATTGTGCACAAGCATGTTTACCGGGGTTATCTGTTTATGGGGCCACAAAAGCAGCACTATCATCATGGAACGATGGTATTCGCTTGGAGTTAAAAAAATATGGCGTTAAAGTGATAAACTTTATACCCGGATCTTTTATTGCTCAAAGTAATATTATGATGAGCCATCAAAATAACTGCAATGAGATGTATCAAAATTTGACACAAGAGCAGCAAATGTTTTATAAAAATTACTTTGTAAAATACAACAGCTACCTGAACCAGTTAAGTAAGCCTAAATCCCCAAAGAAAATTGACGATTTCGGATTATATGAAGAATTGGAAAAAGCTATTTTACATGTATCGCCTAAAGCAAAGTACATTAATGAACCATTAAACTATAAATTGTATCATTTATTGTTTAAATGGAGTCCAACATCATACATTAGAGATTTGTTTATAGTCCGTTTTATGCAAGTGCCTGCATTTGAAAAGTCTGATAAAAATATAAAATAAAATTGAAAATTAGAGATTTGATTATTTAAATAAAGATTACTTTGTTTTTTTTTTCTTACCTTGCGTATATTCCTTTTCTCTACAATAATCATTTGTAAACCTGTTTTCTTTATAATTTTGCGAAGAATAGTTCAGCTTAAATCTTTTATTGTGTATATTTAAGTAATTAAAATAAATATAAACAGGCTTTAATATGCTGTATATATTGATTTTGTGCTTTTTGAGAGAATCGGACATGCAGTAAGCATCTGGATATGTTATATTAATTGACATATTTTTCCTAAGGAGTATAATTAGCATTTTCATGGCAATATCAGATATCAATTGCAGATCCATAAAATTTTGTAGGATATATGTATTTTTAAAACAAAGTAATGTACTATAAAAACATTTTTATTTATAGAGTTTGAAATAACATCAGTAAATAAACGTTTCAGAAAAAAATAACTTTTGATACTTAATAATTACAAGATAATAAAATAAAGTTTAATCATACCATATTATCACATTATACGGAATGTGGCTTTCCATCTTCTACACGAATTTGTGAGTTATGCAAGGGGTCAAAGTTTGGATCATTTTCTGTTGTGTATCTTCCTAGTCGTGACATGATTAATAGTATTACGGTGATTCCCAGCACTAGTAATATCGCCAACATACAATAACGTTTATAAATGGATCCACCACTCCTGCTTAACGGATGAGTAGTTGCCATATTCCTAATATGTTAGTTTATGTAAGTAGTATAGTGTAAAATTGACTATTAAACTAAATAGTATTTTTACGTACTTTTAATTTTACATTTTAAACTACATTTTTGTTTAAATTAGTAGGAAGCAGTGGCTTTATGAAAAAGACTTACTTCCACCATCGACGAACCCATTCTCCTGCAGGCCTCCTTTTATATTTGTCATCATCATGATCAATTGTTAAATTTCTGTTCTCCTTTTCATCATGGAATATTTTCCTCGATGAAGTTGAAAATGCTTCACTACTTCTATTAAATGCAATTTGATCTTCAACATGTACTACAGAATGTGGTGTTGAAGTTATATTGTTAGACATTGCAGGAGATGTATTGTTCAGTGAAGGTGATGGCTTGATTTCTCTATCTTCTGATAACTATAAATAGATAATATATATTTAATTTGCATTACTGTGCTAATGCACAATTACAATAAATAATTATTACAATAAATAAATTTTTACCAGTGGTAAGCCTAATCCAGCTCTGGCCCAATTGACTCCAGCTAGCTTCTCTCTTAAAACATCAACTACAGGACTAACCACATTAGAAGACGGAAATAATGAACATTTACAGGAGGGACATGTATAGCCTGCAGGTGCTGTGGTACTTGGAAGTTTCCTTGCATATTGATCAAAGCAAGACCAATGAAAAACGTCTACATAAAAACTGAGTACCTTAATCTTTAGTTAAAATAAATTTTAATTGACTTACGATAACAAGAAAGTCTAATGCAATCTTCAAGTGTAAGTTCCTTCGAACAAAATTCGCATATTGGTTTATAATCACTATCTTGCAGCCATTGCAAATACGATTGAATGATGCACTGAAAAAATAAATTTTACCAAGTTGTTTTTCTGTGCAACATACTTCCATTCTTACTTTTGGATGATTTGTAACCATGCAATATTCACAAACATTAACTCTGTGTTCAAAACAGAATTGATTTGTTACACGACGTTTAGGGCATTTACACAAACCCATTATGTTGTATATAATTGTAAGAATTTATTGACTGTTAAATACAAACGGGACACGTATTCACATAACGCATATACAATTAAATACAACAATATAACCTATATTTAAAATAGATGATAGCTGACGTTTAGCTTACGTCCATAGAGTCTATAAGAAAAAAACATATCCATCAACCGTCCCATCTCTAGACAGAGGTGAAATCACGAAATATGGTCCCAAAATTTGAAACATTAATAATACATCTTTCCGCCGCTAAGAGTTAAGGGACTAAAATGAAGATAGCTGCTCTTATTATTATTGTTATAATTTCATTTATTTGTATGTTAAAGATATATTCTATGTTAAATTTTATTAATTTTGTTATTATTTCGCTCTATTTATTTATTTTGTATCAATATGATTTTTTAATCAAAATATTCAATGTCGAAAATGTTCGTAGTTATTGAGAACCCAAAGGAATGGTAAGACCTCTGGCGAGGAATGTGCCGAACTGCTGTAAAGGAGGTTTTTGACAGGTAAACAAAATAAAATGGAAACTAATTTAATTTAACACAAAAAATTTGTTAGAGTTAAAATAAAAAAAAAGGAAAAATATGCGATTAGTAACGTTGATCTTTGGAAGTATTACTTGAATAAGTATTGTGACATCCCGCTACACTACAATATTTCTTTGAAACTTTATTTTTTTTAATTTTTGGTTTTTCGAGGTTACCCTCCATCATACTTTTCTCTACTAATGTTTACCTGTCAAAAGCCTCCTTTACAGCAGTTTGGCGCATTCCTCACCAGAGGTCTCACCATTCCTTTGGGTACCGAATTATTAAATAGAATATTAAAGGAGAAAACCCATAGATAATAGAGAAAACCCGTCATACGTCATCGTCATACTATCATTCCACCTGATGTGACGTCGGAATGGCGAATTCGACCATTTGCAAGACTGAGCTTGACCCCAGCTAAAGGAAAGACATCCATGAAAACTGCATCGTAGAAATTAGAATTGGAAATGTGATCTTATTTTTTTTTGTTTAGTTTCTCCTCGAGGATAGGGAAACCTTCAAAAGTCACCCCCCGAATGGAGTTAGTGTCGGATTTGCCGAAGTGCCTACCGACTAAAACCCTTGCTCGAGTGGGGAAATAAACCCGGAGGTTATACATCCCAGGAAAGGTTCAATGGGAAGAGGTTGGGAGCAGCAAGGGGACCGGGTGTGGGAAGGAAGCATTGGGTGGAAATGGGAATCTCGGGTGAGTTGGGTGGACACTTGCGCTAAAAATGCGAAACTAGGAATGAGCGGAAGGGAAGTAGCTGAGAGGAGAAGGTGGCTAGGGCCTTCTAAAACGGTCGTTTGGTTTAAGGACGAAGTCGGAAAGTGTCGAGATGGACGGGTTTGGGTGACCTTACACTGAGGCCCGGAGATTAACCGCGAACCTAGCTGCAGCCTCGGGGAGCGAAGGTAGACCAGTTTCTTTCAGAATTTGGATGTTTCTGATGAACCAGGGTTGGTTAAGAATTTGTAGGTGGCGGGAATCGGCACAACCCCAGATGGGGATGGTATAGGAGCAGTTTTGGAAGAAGGGCTTGTGGGAGAGAAAGGTGGCTAGGGCCTTGATATAGGGAGCAAGGATGTGCTTTTACCATGTCAGTGTTCTATCGAAGACGACGCTGAGGTAAGTAACTAAGTTGCTCCATTTGATGCGGTGGTTGTTAACGGTGATGGCAGGAGGTTTTCTGGTCTTATTTGAGAAGAAAATTTCTTCCGACTTAGCCTCTTTGATGGAGGATTTCCATGTACGGTACCAATTTAGTAGCAGGGGCACACTATTAGATAATGGTTTGGGCGGAGTTTATGAGAGCGATTTCATCCGCGTAAAGAACTGTGACGATCGAGGGATTGGACGGCATGTCTGCGCAGAAAATGTTTAACAGAAGGGGTGATAACTTGGAGCATTGTGGGACACCAGCCGCAACGTGTTTGCTTGGGAATAAAGCACAGCTAAAGCGGAAACGGAGGGCTCTGCCAGAGAGGAAGGAACCGATAACCCCGATTAGGAAATGTGGGATGTTGAGGGCGATAAGTATGGTGATGAGACCTTCGTGCCAAGCTCGATCGAAGGTTTGCTGGATGTCGAGCAGAATAATGGAAGTATGTAGGCGCTTGTTTAGGTTATCAGAAATGTATTCGGAAATACGGAGAAGTTGATGGCCGTAGCCGTGCTGTCTGCAGAAAACGTGTTGAAAGTCGGGGTGTAGGTTGTTTCGCACCACGTGGTCGAGAGGCCGATTCAAAAGGATGGACTCAACTACTGTGCTCAGCGAACTGAGCAGGCTAATGGGCCTGTAGCTTGAGGGAGGGATGAGGGGCTCCCCTTTTTTAAGGAGACAGATGACGGTGGCTACTTTCCAGAACGGAGGGAAATGGTGGAGCCGCATGATAGCGTTTGTGATGTTGCAGAGTGCAGTTATGTGTTTTGACGGTAGAACTTTTAGGATGGGGGGATGTGTGTTTAAAGTCGGAAACGATTGGGACAAAGTTTTGGATATGGAGGCATTTTGTTTGAACGGTAGGAGGTGTGGGGCTCTGTTTCGAAGAGAGCTGAGCACTTTCCAAGTGCTTTTTGGATGTGTTCCGGCATGAGCGATATAATTGTCGATGTTGCCGCTATGAAATTCGGTTAGGCGAGTTTTAAGTTCTCATTGGAAGGTATTTAGTTCGACGCGGTGTGCGAGATCACGGACGAGGGGCGGGAGGTCGTGGAGAGCTTGATGCCGGTAGTGATCTCGTTTGGAAGGAGATTGACTGCTTAGTCTAGTTCTGCTATTGTGCAAATTGAAGTGCACTTGAAGGAGAATGTATCGAGAGTGTAGCGGAGACATAGCAACTCTAGCGAGGTTTTAAGGTTTGGGGGCCGATTTCTATTAGTGCTGGAAGGTCAAAAACGGTGGGTTCGGCAGAATGAGTGATATTTTCTAAGATGAAGACGTCAATAATGTCAGGAAGTTGATTGTGGGGGGCGGGGATGTACGTAGGATCTGTGGCCGCTTCAACGGCGAGGTTGATGTCGAGGAAAGAAGGGAAATGCCTTTTTTGTTAGTGTGTCGGCAGCCCCAGGAGGGGTGTTTGGCATTGAGGTAGCCTGCGCCGATGGTCGAGAAGTTAGATGGGAGGAGGGAGGGAAATCCGAAATATTTAGGGGGCCGGAAGTTAGCTAACGCTTCAACGCTAACTGCTTCGAATGAATTAGTGGCCAAAGAGATAGGCCTGTGTTTTAGAGAGTTCTTGACGAGGATGGCTATGCCACCGCCTCGGGAGTTTCCACGATCCCTCCTATAGGAAATGAAATTTGGAACGAAAAGTTTGACTTTGGGCTGGAGTAGAGGAGGGTTTTTTGGGTGGTACGGTTTTCTTAGGTACCTTGAGACAACCACGATAGGTGGCGCGGTGGTTCCCTTTACAGTTAGCACAGGAGGGGTTTGAGTTTTTCCTGTCTTTTGCCTTGCATTCGGCCGTTACATGGTTGCGGCCACAGAAGGACCCAGGCAGCGTGACAGTTTTTGACGGTATGAAAGAATTTCATACAACGGTGGAGTTGGTACCTCTTTTCGGCCCAACTTTAACGTTGAGACCGTAGATTGACTTAAACTTAGGGGAAGACTTGTCGAGACGGACGGATACTAGCTGTCAGATTTTTCCACCTTTTAACATTCGGAGAGCGAAACCTTTATTAACAAGTTCAGACTGAATAGCGTCTGTGGAGATGACTTCGCAGACTCAACGGAGGACGACATTAAGGTGTCTGTTTGTTGAACTTGGTTGATTGAGAATTCAACCTTGGATTCGTTTAGGTACAATCACAGCCGTCTCTACTTACAAGCCATGCTGAAGGTTTACTTGGCAACACTGTGGGAGTCCCAGGATTTCCCGGTTAATGAGAGTTACAACTAATACATTAGTTGTTGTGTTTTTTCGTTGTTCTATAATATTTTAATTTTAGCGGAAATATCGTGCAGTAAATGTGCAATAAGGATGATTATAGTGTGTTATAGTGATTAATACCTTTGGATGCAGTTTTTAATTGCAGAACTATTATGTGAAAGAAGTGAAAATGTTTTAGGTCAGATTGTGTGTTTTAGTTGTAAATTTTCTTGTTTATTTCTTAACAAAATGCCTCTCGTCGTTGTGTTCCCAGTTGCAATTCAAATTATAAATCATCTTTAAAATGTAAGTACAAGTATGTCTATATTTTTATTCCCAAAAAAATGATGAAATGCGAAAAAAATGCATAAGTACTATACCTCGCAAAGATTGGACTCCATGAAAATATTCTGGAGTTTACATACAT